CCCCCCCACACGGGAGTTGGGGGGCAGCAGCCACTGATAGTGTCTGCAATCACTGACCAGGTGGTGTGTGGGACAGATGAGGTGAACCTGGTGAACTCATGGCTCCATTAGCCCGAGCTCCTGTTCAGAGCAGCCCTTGCCAGCCGGGTTGGTGGCTGGAGAGGATAAATGGTGCGTTCCACAGTTTAATTATGGACCATTTAATTTTGTTGCCTTTCAGTGGTGTTATCCCATTAACATGTATGGGTTATTATTTATTTGTTGTCTACTAATTGTTAATTTCATGTACTCATAATACAATCCTTTAGGAGGAACTGTTTTACATAGAGAGAGGGTGCTCGTGTGGGCCTATGTATAAAAATAACGTATTTACCTCAGTGATCAGTTCGTTTGAACTGGACAGCAGGAAGCCTAGCACAGAATTACCATGAGTTGTTTAATTTGGGTACAGTTCTTCTCTTAAGAATTTACCATTTACAGTTTAAGAAAGCTCTAAGTATGTTTCAGCATGGGGAGCATGGGATTTTTCTGTGTCTCCCAAGCTGAAATACCAAATACTAGCAATGTTCTTCTCTACTTATTTAGAGCTACTTGTTTAGGAAGTGGCTTATTGATTTTCTTCACCTGAGTTGGTGCGCTCTGACAGACCCTGTCCACAAACCCAGTCTTGCTTCCCTTTGTTTTACCAACACCTCTGAAGCTGGCTGTGGGCATCCCCGCTAGAGATGGGACAGGCACAGGCAGAGCTGGTGAGCAGGCAGGGCAGCTTCCAAGCAGGATCTGTGCCACCCACTGCTGCCTGCAGGGTTCAGAGTCCTCTATCTCAAAATGAGAAAACTGGCACTTCTGAACTCTACAGAAAATTACAGACTTTAATAGAGTATGTGTGCTGCCCTTACAGCTGTCATGTTTTAAGAACCTACTCTGCTGCAAGGGAGGAGATAATCCAGGTGCACACCTTTGCAAGATGCCTGCAAAGAGCAGATAGTATTCCCTGCATATGCCGTTATAGCGTCCTGCACAATATCAATCAAGATCAGATTAATTACTTCTTTTTGCAGTGTTTTGTTCAGGTAACAAAAAGGTGCAGGGCAATCCAGAACAAAACGTATAAGCAATTTCTGTCACATTTGGAAAAGGCAAAATTTTAAACAAAGCTCTAACAATTAAAGTGCAAGACTGCAAATAGTACAACAGAAAGAATTCTTTTAAAGGACTCTGTCGCCTCCGATTATCAGATGCCCATTCCCTTCTGCTGGTGGGCTGTGATATTTTAGGAGACTGTATTGAGTAGGGCTAATTCTGTGTGTTGCTCTGGTTTGTGGACTGACCTCCCCCAAATACAGGCTCTCCTACAAGCTACAGAATAGCAGTGGGAAGGTATGGCAAGAGATGGGACATGGGCTCGCGGCTCCTGTACAGATGCTGTCTCTTTGTCAAAATTCCCTTTGGCCTGTTTCTCCATAACAGCTCAAACAGTCTGATTTTTGAAGCCCTTTTTTTCTTCATATCTTCCTTGATAAGATTTCCCAAGTCCCTCAAGTTCCTTCATTTTCTTGGTCTCTGCTCACGTGGCTATTCCCATGGTCACTTCTAACAGCAAATCCATGTGTTCTTTTTTCAGTTCCCCTCTGAGCAAAAATTTATAACCCTTTGGAGCATTTATAGGAGCATCTCTGGTGTCTCTCATTTCAAACACTGGATGCTCTGCAAAAAATAAGGGGAAAGCTGGTTGGGGATCCTAATCTGTCCTTCAGAGTAAATATTTACTATTTCATATTCTTTCTGTGTGAGAAGAGGAAAAACCTGTCTTTTCTTCAGACATAGTTCACTCCATGTTTCTGCCCGTTCATTTGGCTTCTTGATGATTGCCAACAAGCCTCTCTTTCTATCTCACAGCAAAAACATTGTGATTAAATGGAGAAGATAGGCTACCGTGGATTTGAGAAGGCAAAGGTGCGCAGTCACAGAATCAGGGAGCAGAGCATGCTTAGGTAGACTCACAGACAATTTTCAGGTTATGGAGGTTGTGAACTTCGGCACGTTCATTGAGTGAAAAATGAGATAACTCTTCTAGGCACCAAGGCAAAGCATGCTGCATAGGCTGAAAAATGTGCTGTCCTAATGATTCAGAGGTTAAAGATGTGCTCGTGTAAATTAATCTATACCTAGAAATCTGATTGACCTCAGACTTTGTGAAAAACTGCCATATGCTGTTCCACAAAATAAAAGCAAATACAAATTGGCTTCACCTAGCAACACCTAAAGTCTTTTATTACACCTGTGCACCTCCCAGCCAACAGTTCCTTCCTCTGTGCTGGTGATATGCATTATGAAGAGGTAAAAATGGATTGGTGCCTTCTCCAACTTTACATTTAGGTACATCTGGCTGGCTGGAAATTGATTCTGCAAGGCTTTAAAGAAGTGAATGCTGCCTTAGATGACATACATCTCTCTAGACCTTTGAGCCTAATGGCTTGTCTAATCAATTTTGTGTCTGTTGAACTGTATAGGCCTGTCTGAACAATTAAAATGGTGTGTGGAAAACAGCTGCTTTGTGGTACAGAGAATGAAACAGAATCAGAACAGGTATTAACTGAGGACGGTGTGAAAATTAGTCTTTTGGGAAGAATTCCAACGAAGACGGAGGAAGCTGCTGAATATCAGGCAACTGCAAAACATCATCTGGTCTGCATTAAAAATGCACTGGAGACATATTTGTTATGAACGGAAAGCAAGCATTTCAGCAGTGTGCGTTTGTTGGGGGAGAGTGAATTGAGAGGCAGACAACTTGAGCCACACGCAGAAGTGTGTGGGTCAATAGAGCAAACACAGCTGTTTCCCCACAAGGGCAAGAACAGATGATTGCTTATTCATCAGTTTGGAGATAACAACTTGCTGTCAGCTGAGAACATCACTTGTGAGTTCTTCAGCTAAACA